CTTTTGTTTACGGGATCTTTATTTTAAAGGTTCCGATTCTACTGACACTGAATGTGAAGACTGCCCTCAAAATTCATACTCAGATGGCCTTTTTACATCATGCAAACCCCACACAGAGTAAGTTGTTACATTTTTGTTCTCCTTCAAGTAAGGAGCATTTTCAGGTCTGTAAGATCAGATCTGCAGAAAGAAGCTATCCTTTCAGTCTTGTATATCAAGACTGGTTTGATGTTAGGTTTACAACATTCTGTATTTGCTGTTTTTTTTTTGCTTTATAAATTCTAAGTGTCACATTCTCCTTTTTAAAGCTGTTTATTAGTTCTAACTAATGTCTAGTACTTCTAATTGATGGCCTTTCTGCCATTTAAAGCTGCGAAGCCAGGGGCCTTCAGGAAATCAGACCTGGAACCTCTGCATCTGATGTTGAGTGTGGGGAAATGTCCAACCCTGTGGTTCCGATAGTTACAGTGCTGGCGATATTCATTCCTATCTCTATCAGAGTGGTAATATTTCTTGTTCTCAAGAAAAAAATACCATTTTTAAAGGGTAAGTTATGCATTATAAATTTTTCATTACAGTATGTGGTTTTGTGTAAGGTTCTTCGATACAGAAGCTATTTGGTCCTAATTCACTAAATGCTCTTCATGATAATGTGACAAGACCGGTAACATAGTATACTACATTATTTTTGTTACTAAATGTACAAGGTCTTATGTAAAATGTTCTCCTTTAATGTCTGATACATTTGTATTGGATTTAGAGGTTTGCTAGTGGGCACTGGACATAAGTACAACACTGGGAATAATGGTTTGTAAAATATGACCCTGCAGTTTCACGACAGAATGACATGATGAAATGCTTTATATTAAAAGTACCTACAATAGTTTTACAATACTGTTTGTTCAAATTATTTTATACTATTTTCATTTTACCTTATGTTTATATGTCAGAATCAATAACTTTAAACATTAAGACTGCAGAGAGATGCCTCCTGTCAACTTAATGTATCTTTTTCTTTTCAGAGGTAAAACAAGTTGCAAAGGTATTTTTTTATATTTCTTGTGATTTATGCTTAATTGTGTTGGAGATAAGAGAGATAAACTATCTTATTGAGACCTGAACACTGAGCATCAGACACTGTCATCAAAAATGTATAACAACACACACAATCAATATATGACAAACAGGGGAGACTGTGAAAAAATGTATTTGTGACTTGTAGCTGCATAACAAAACTGGATAATAAAAGCTGTGATTGAAATTACACCAAAAT